TTCTATTATAATTTAGCCGAAATTTTTTTCTTTCGTTTTTCCACGGGAGATTTGCATAAAATATTTTTTTGTACAAGTATAAAAATTAATTATACTTTCAGTCTTTTTTTTTACGAAGAAGAGACAAAATTTTACAGCGTTTTTAAGCAATGTATTATCTAATTCGTTGGCGTTATCATGAGGCAAATATTATGTTGCATAGATAATAGATATAAGTCGAATTATACACGTACGCATATTAAGATTTCGCTGATTACGTTTTTCTGTAAATTGGTTGTAATATGACGAGATAGATTCGTTAATATTCGTCGACAGTTAAGCAATAACGCTGTCGTGATATGATAATTATAATGGTCAGATACAATTCTCATAATCGCTTCTTCGTAAAGATAAGACACGCACAAAAATTGATGAAGTAAATTCGCTCAATTATTACAATATATTCGGTTTTCTTTTGACAGATATTATTGAATTGTACGAGATTTCGTTGTTTAAATAATATTTTTATTAAATAAAAAAAAAGATTATAGCTATACCGACGGATGTTTGGTCTCACAATCAATATGTAAAAGTAAAAGGAAAATTAAAAGTTATTTTTCTTAATACTTCATTTATTAATCTTATATTCAAAAAGCGTAAAAATTGAAGCAAAACCCTTTGATATCAAATTCTTTTTTAAAAATAAATGAAAATATATATTTGTTACATTTAATGCAAATATTTTCTCTTTAACAATGGAAAAGTGCACGCGACACATTTCCTCCATTATTTGGTTCTTCAGATAACCGAAATTAAGACATGTTTACGAACTGACATTTCCATTTTTTTATCATTATCGCTTCCGGACCGATAGATGCCACAAAACGAATCCATGTTTGAATTAAGGAACTTTCTTTATGTGTTATCATTTGAGATTTTTATAAATTATTATCAATAGAGTATTATCAATAAAAGCTCCTTTTTTCTCTCTCTTGCGACAATGCCAAGGGAAATCAACTCCTTCGTGATGTTTATGGACATCACGAAGACGTTGATGTCTTGGTCATCATGTGACGTTATCTTGCTGAAACTAGTTTCTTATTTTCCTTATCTTGTTAAAAAATGAGTTCAGTCAGTAAATAATCTACGATTTGGGTCATACTTGTTTCTATTTTTAAGCAATTTATCTCTTTTGAATATATAATTACTATCAATATTTTTCCGGAAGATATACTTATTCTATCGATGTATCTATATATATTTAGATATTTCTTAAGACACTGTGCAAGGAGTATTCGATGTCAGATTCAATTAAGTATTCCTTCGTTTTGTTCTCGATAGCGCTGTTTATTCAAATGACGTCGCGAGAGACGTTGAATCAGCGTGTATAATTGAATTGCACTATTCGACCGGGCGCTTTTGATATTCTTTTAAATTAAATCCGCGGTTAATACAATTGACCCATGAGGTGGCTGCGTATGAGAACCAGCACGCGGCTGCAAATTCTTCATAGAGTATATTATGACTAAAGCTGCTCTTTAATGTCCAGTAACAAGACGAGACGATGTTACTACGAAGGAACTTGTATATTTAAACGAGGATTTTATATCGTTATATTGTCGATCGCATTTTTTATGATGTAATTTTATTTACAGGTAAGATTGGACTTTTTTACTTGATATTTTACGGCGTCCTGGCAGCACTCGTCGCTATTTGTTTCTGGGCATTCTTTCAAACGCTCGATCCAAGGATACCAAGGTGGCAGCTTGAAAGATCCATTATTGGAACAAATCCAGGTAACTTATTTCCTATTAGCGTTAAAAAAAACACGACGTAATAAATATATATTCTAATATGAGAATTTTCCTATTTTTAAAAATAAAATATTGTAATAAATTATTCCTTTTTCTTAATTTATACACGTGCAAAACACATTATCTATGTAACTATATTTTTTGATACGTCAAAAATAAACGTTTCCGGATATGTTGTCAATCTGAAAGTAAATATTACGCTTCGCAGGATTAGGATTCAGGCCAATGCCACCGACGGAAAACGTGGAGAGCACCCTGATCTGGTACAGAGGCACCGACAGCGAAAACTTTAAACACTGGATTGATTCACTACAAGACTTTCTCAAAGGTAACCGCTGCAATATAAGAGAAATCCAGCATTCAATGTCGGATATCAATTGTCAAAAAAAAAAAGAAAAAAAAAATTTCTCGTTCATCCCGTATCTCTCTGTATATTGCTGCGTATCTGATGAATTTCTAAATTAATTAATTTCTCTAATTTTTAGATTAAAAAGTTCGGGGCATTTATATATTGTAATATATTTCTTGTCATATATTTCAGATTATATAACACCTGGGTCTGTTCTTGGTCTTGGTGCTAACATTAACAAGTGCGATTACAATCAGCCACCGCCACCCGGAAAAGTCTGCGATGTCGATGTAAAAAACTGGCATCCTTGCACCAAGGAGAATAGATATAACTATCACAAGTCCGCCCCCTGTATTTTTCTTAAGCTGAACAAGGTATCGTATATTGCAATCTACAATTAATTCAGTTACTTATACGATATATATTAATATTAGAAAATATTTCAAATACTTTCAATATGAAAATCGCGATAACATTTCTACTGATCAGATTTATGGCTGGAGACCAGAATTTTACAACGATACTGGAAACTTGCCGCAAAAGATGCCGGTCGATCTCAAGGAGCATATCGCAAGTCTGAAAGGGAACAATTCCCTCCAGCTGAACACCATTTGGGTATCCTGCGAGGGTGAGAATCCTGCCGATCAGGAGAACATCGGACCGATCAATTATTTGCCGCGACGCGGTTTCCCCGGTTACTTTTATCCTTATGAAAATTCCGAGGGTTACCTGAGTCCGTTGGTCGCAGTGCACTTTGTTAGACCGCGAAGTGAGTATGAGCCCTTACATCAATGTAAAAAAAAAATATTAAAATTACATTACATTCATTTTTTATTTTCAGCCGGAATCCTGATAAATGTAGAGTGCAAGGCTTGGGCGAAGAATATCAAGCACAGTCGTACCGACAAAATTGGCGCGGTTCATTTCGAGCTGATGATAGATTAACGAAATCTGCAAGTCTGTCTTCAAGGCTGCTCGCGCGGTCTCCTAAACCGAAATTAACGAGCGTCCTCGGGAGGCTCTCGGGATGGCCGTTAGGCAAATTTTCATCTTCCAAAATTACGAAATTGCAAGACGAGCGAATATCTCGTCGAGTCCGATCTCTCTAGCCGAGACATTAATCAAGTACAAAACAGAGAGGCCTTTTGCCACGCGTTTCGCCTCCGCGCAATCGGTGGGGAAAACTTTTGGGAACGAATGAAAAAGGAATGGAGCAACCGAATCTCAAAGAATTATACGCCGTTTATCGCGTGCCTTCCTTTACTCGTAGGCGCAATTTGTTTGTAAAAACTGATCAATTTATAATAGAATGTAAAAGAATCTCACATATGCATTTTAAGGAATATCATTTAAAATACTCATATATACATATAGTATATTATTAGCTGGATAGATTTTTTTATAATCGGTCGTACGATTTTGAAGACTTTCAAATGACAGTAGAAATTAATATACTCAGATGATGTCGTATTTTGTGTCTTATTGGAATGCCAATAGGTTTGTCGAGTAAAAAATAAGAGCTACAAAGTGAAAAATATAAGCTCTTATTAATGGGGGGTATGAAGTTAAAATTGCAACTACATCAATTATAAAAATATCTAAGCTTTTGTATAACTATTAGTACTGAAAAATCTGGTAAAACGCTACGCGTATTTAAAGATTTTTATACGTCGACGTTATATCACATAGATGTCATTTTATGGCATATAATAGAAAAGACAAATTCTAATGATAAAATATAACGTAAAAAGTACGAATTAAGACGCGAATACAAATATATTTTATTTTTATCTCCTTAAATAAAGTTTGAAAATTGGAATATTAATCGTATAAAAATTATTCTAGAGATAAGATAATTTTCTCTTAAAAAGAACAAGAATGTTTATATGTTTGAAATGTATAGAAATAATAACGGTTTAATCTAAAGAAAATGTATTGAGCCAGCTTAACGAGAAATTAGAGATATGAGATATTGTATATGTTGTTTTATTCAAAGATTTTACTTTAAAGATATATTAATACCAGTTTGATTTTTCTTCCCTCATATAATTGCCTATTAAAATGCATGTGACAATATTTTTTAAGAAACGGCAGCTAAAAGTTTCAATTTTCTTTCGGTGCAATTTATATATAGGATAATTTATGTAGAGCAATTAAGTCATAATTAAGTTGTAATTATTTGAACGCAGTTTTTTTAGAGGGTAACAATTTTTATTTCGACAAGGATTCTAAATTCTTTTTCATTCTTTTATGTGTGTGTGAGTGAGTGTGTGTGTGTGTGTGTGTGTGTGTGTGTGTGTGT